TCTGAACTCCAAATCATCCTCTGCCGCTGGGTCCTCCTCCCCCTCCACATCCTCGTCCAAGATTTCCTCCTCCTGGCTTGGTCCACTCTCACTTGCACGCGGGCCACCAAAGTATCCACAGTGGTCTTCGCAGTGGAGGTGGGGTCGCCACCGAGTATCGCATCCAGCTCTTTGTAGAACCAGCAGCTCGTGGGCACAGGACCAGAGCACCAGTTTACCTCCTGCACTTTGTGGTAGGCATTCTGCAGCTCCTTCACTTTGACTCTGCACTCCAATGTGCCTGGTCCTGGTCCCTTTCTGTTATGCATCGTGAAATCTGTCCATAGGTATCATAATTCCTATGGCTGTGGTGCAGCTGGGACTGGACAGCCTCCTCTCCCCAAATGCTGATGATGGTATCTGTTGAGGACAAGATGTTTGAAATATTCCTGTAATGCAATGTAAATTGCTTGTGTACACTTCCCCATTGTTGAAGAATTGTGCATAAGCTGGCGATCACTCTTTAATATTTGTTTATGGTGCTAATGTGTCTTTGTCTCTAAAAAGTAGTTTGAGACCTGTTTGTCTTAACTTTGGAGCATGTTATAACAATGATATATAATAAAACCTAATAATTTCTTATACAATGTTGATATACACATTTTACCAGGACAGCAATATTCACCAGATTATGAGTTTTCAAATGGTATCTCACAAGGCATATTTTGTACAAAATTTATCATAGGCTTGTAAAAGTGGTGACCATAGTAGTATAGACTGTCATAAAATAGGGAAAGAAAAGATTAAGAGGTTATATTTAGATGAATTAGAGATGTTCAAGTCAGCCTGATGAAATTTATCCTAGAGTACGTAAGGAACTAGCTGAAGCAATCTCAGAACCATTAGCAATCATCTTTGAGAAGCTGAGGATGGGTGAGTCACAGAGGATTGGTAAAAGGCAAATATAGTACTATCTTTGAAAGGGGGAACAATGAGGATTCAGGGAATTATAGACCAGTCATCCTAACTTTGATACCTGGAAAGATACTGGGACAAATTATTAAACAATGAATTTGTGAGTATATAGAGGAAAATAGTGTTATAAATAATAGTCAACATGGATTTATCAAGAACAAATAATTCCAAACCAACCCAAATTTCCTTCTTTGTCAGGGTTACTGGCCTACTGGATGGGGAGGGGAGGGTGAAAGTGGTAGACACATATCTTGACTTTACTAAGGCTTTGGATGCAGCCCCACATAACATTCTCATAAGCAAACTAGAGAAATGTGGTCTAAATAAAATTACTATCAGATGGATGCACAACTGGTTGAAAGACGAAACTCAACGAGCTGTTATCCATTGTTCACTGTCAAACTGGGAGGATATATCTAGTAGGGACCCACCGGGGGCTGCCCCGTGTTTGTTACTATTGAATATTTTAATAAATAAATTGGACAATAGAGTGGAGAATACACTTATAGAATTGGTGGACGACACCAAGCTCAGAGTGGTGGCTAGCAATTTGAAGGACATTATTAGAATTCAAAATGGCATTAACAAATTGAGAACTGGTCTTAAATCAGCAAGATGAAATTCATTAAAGACAAATGCAAAGTGTCTTCACTTAAGAAGACAAAATCAAATGCACACATTCAAAGTGGGGAATAACTAGCTACTCAGTAGTACTGAAGAAAAGGATCTGGGGGTTATATTGGCTCACTAACCAAATACAAGCTCAAAATGTGATGCAGTTGTGAAAAAGGCTAATATCATTCATGGATATTAATAGGAATGTCATATGTAAGACATCGGAGGTAATTGTTCCACATTACTAGGCTCTGATGAGGCCTCAGGTGGAATATTGTGTCCAGTTCTGGGCACAACACTTTAGGAATTATGTAAAAGATTGGAGATGGTCCAGAGAAGATAAACAAAAATGATACAAGGTTTAGAAAACATGACCTATGAGGAAAGGTTAAAGAAAATGGCCACGTTTAGTCTTAAGAAATGAAGTCTGAGGAGGGACCTGATAAGAGTCTTCAAATATGGTAAGGGCTGTTATACAGAGGAAGGTGATCCATTTTTCTCCATGTCCATTTAAAGTAGGACAAGAAGAAATTGGCTTAATCTGCAGCAAGCGGGATCTATGTTAAATATTGGGGAAAAAACTTTCTAACTATAAGGGTAGTAAAGCACTGAAATAGGCTTCTAAAGGAGATTGTAGAATCCCTGTCCTTCAAGCTTTTTAAGACTAGGTTAGACAAACATCTGTCAGGGATGATTTGTGTACTTAGTGCTGCTCTGCCTCAGACCAGAGGGATGGACTAAACAACTTCTCAAGGTCCATCCAGTCCTACATTTGTATGATTCTATGATGATGATGATGATTATGGACGAACCAAGGAGCCCTAGTCAAGGACCAGAACCCCATTGTTTATAAATGTTTATAAACAGGAGTTGGGTTTGAGCACGTGAGTTACTGACTTTCACTCATGTGTTATTTTCAGAATGAGCAGTTTGTCCAATAGGTATTTGCACAAGTATTTATGCCACTTTAACTTTACTCAAATATTCATGCGAACAAAAAAATAGCTTGTAGAAGTAGAAATGAGGGAACCTTTCCAGGGCAGGGGTTGTTTTTTTCTTCTACGTCTGCACAGTGCACTAGAAATGATTGGGGCTTTTGGGTGCTACTGCAAATAGCTGATGAATAATAAAAAAAATGAGTGAACATTTTGGTAAGTTTGAATATTAGTGAATAATAATGTCAATAAGGAATTGAAAACATTCTTCTGAACATGCTTAGTAAGAATTTACTATGATTATTAGCTGAATAAACCCCTTCCTTCCCTGTGGGAAACCTGGTAAGCTCAGAAGCTATTATCGCAATTTTTAAAAGTGAGATTGTACATTTACAATTCAAAACGGCTTTCACTACATTTCAGCAGATTCAATTTTATCACGGCATTTGTGTAAGATTTCCTGCTGTAGAGAGTGATCATTTTATTTCACCTTGAACTGTAAATGACAGCATTGTGTCTGTGGTATCTGGAAAAAGGAAAAAAATATAAAAATGTGTTTTAATAACTTGCTACAAAATTTGGATTAAACGTTATATTGTCTGCGATCAGACATTTTTATTGTCTTCTATTATTTAAGTAAAAGGGCTTTTAAAATCTTATTTTATATATATTATAATATGAACTTTCTTTCTCAAAGCCTCCAATTGCCTGACTGTATGGTTGGAGAAAAAGGGCAGACAAGAGGCAATAAAAAAGAAAAGCAATGAAACCCTTTTCTTTGGCTATGACCACGGCTTTAATGAATACATCCCTACAATGTTAAGCCTTTAAAAATATTTAATTAGTGTGAGTAGTCAGAAAGAAATACAGTGTACTCCTACTGCCAATTTCAACTAATCACAGACATTTTACATTAAAATCTACACAAGAGAAATTACCTGTGCAAAGCAACTTTTGAAGTGACTGACATGGGGAAGAAAGCTGTAACCATGTATTACTACTTATGTTATTAATCTGAATGACAAGGAAGAAGAGAAAAGATAACAGTAGACGCTGACAGTGCAAACTATGAGCCATGAATCAATTTACCCTGAGCCTGACACTTTTGAAAGGACACTTATCTGATCACATGATGAAACAACACAGTTATCTGCATATAAAAATGGTCACAACATGGCTTTATATATATATATATATATATATATGAAACTTCATAATTAATATAAATAAATGTGATCATTTCTTCCTCCATATCTTTCATACTTATTTGGTTAGCCTTTCTTTACTGAATACAGAACATTTCTTTAAACTTCTGCTTAGATTAATTTCAGTGTCTATTTGTCATGGATTATGGCTGTCGTTTTGTTATGTTAAATATGGGAAGTAAGTTATTTACTAGCTAAAATAAAATGTAGTAATAATAATAAAATGGATTAGGATCGTGTGTATACATGGATATATACTGTATATATACACTACAAAAATGGCACAGGGGAAACAAGTCCATCATATAGCCATCTCATATTCCTATCTCCAAAGAGAACTAAGGCAAGACACATATGTATGAGGACTGTGTAACCTTCACATAAATATGTTGCACGTATAGAGAAAAGAATAGCTGTACCTTCCTACCCAAAATGCATTGACATGCATCTACATGGATATGCTCTGCAGTGTTTGTGTCACACTCCTGGAAGTTCTCAGTACAGAGTCATTGGCTCGCCTAATGGTCACTAGTGTATAGGAAGAAGGCTAACTCCAGGGACAGTGCAGCAGTGTGCTGGTATTTACTCAGTGCTAGATTATAATGTCACAATCTAGCTAATTTCACAGGTCAGAATCCAGAGGCAAATATAATTACTGAAGAGAAGGAGAAAGGTTAATACAGCAAGAATAATTCCATAGTGTATGTTATACAGATAAATCAAATAATAGCTTTTACTTCCTGTTAATTTTAAGAGTATGAATGTTCACTCCTGGTTGCAGATTGATATTCTCCAGGCAATATTTTCACATGCTTGGTCTTCTCTTGAAAGAGTGTAATATAAAGTTCCACATTCCAAAATTCACATGACTGCATAGTTTCTCCCTTCATATTCATATTCTCCTATTGGATATTCCAAGTTATGTACAGTATGATAATGATCCTGGCATCTTAAAAAAAAAGTTATAGGCCTGATCTTCAGTGAATAAAATAACATGTTTAAATTTTGCAGAATTGGAGTCTTAAAAAGTCAAAATACTTCTTATGTTTCAATTATAATCTCCTTATTCATTTTAAGTAGTAGCTCCTGTCAGGGCTGGCTCTAGGCACCAGCAAAGCAAGCAGTTGCTTGGGGCGGCAGATTTGCAAGGGGCACAAGAATCCAGCGTGGGAGCTGAGAACCAACAGGGGGCCCTGGGAGCTGTAGTTCCTTGGTTAGCTCCCTGCCAATAGAGCCAGCCCTGGAGCAGGGAAAGAACTACATTTCCCAGCATTCCCTTGGCCACTAGCAACAGGAAAGGGTGGGGGAAGGAGTATGGAACTGAAATCTGCAGCTTGCTGTGAATGGTAGGAACAGACCCAGCTCTAGGTTTTTTGCTGACCCGCCCTGCCCTGGGCTCCCCCGCATTGGTCCAGCCCTGGACTCTCCCCCTCCCCCACTATAATTGCTTTCCCTTAGCTAGTGAAGATGCAACATTATTTTACCGACCCCAAATCAGCCCCCGAGGTTGACAATGCTTTACCTGAAGGGTGAATCTCTGTT